TAAGTATTCATACAAACGACACATAATCAGTTCTTGTTGGTAGGTGGCGCGTTCACAGTAAGTGTGTCTAGCAGACTGGTAATGTTGATCTGTTTAATTGAAATTTCGCATACAAATATACATGTTTTCATTTCAAGTTCCACAGTAATTATTATTAACATGGTTGAAACATTTTAGGATATTGTTGTCTATGTGCACATTGTTTGCCGAGTTTTTACGTTATTCCCAGTATGTGTGTGTGTGAGGGGGAGAGAGCTTTGTTTGTTTGTTTCTTTTAAAAAGCACAGATAACTATTGTGTAATTTTGTGCTTAACTTCAAACAAACAAAGAAACAAATTCTTTAATAATAAAAAAGCAACTCAAGGGCTATCTGCGCTAGTTAACCCTAATTTTGAATTGAAGTAATAGACTAGAGGGAATGCAGCTAGTCAACAGCACCCACAGCCAACTCTTGGGCTACTCTTTTACCAAAGAAAAGTGGAATTGACCGTCATATGTGGAGCATTACGTTTTGTAAATCATCTTGTATAAAGACGTATTCTGAATGAACAAGTAATAAAAATTTTATCGCTAGTTGCACGTCAAAATAACATGTTTTTATATAAGGTAAAAAGTTTAAATTTGATATCTATACACTGTACAGTGTTTAAAATTGGACAAGGGTGATTGATAAGTCAGTAAAGAAAGAAAATTACTATTCCCAAAGGGTGAACGTACAAGACTTAGAAGCCCCGGACTTCCATCGAAGTTATTCCGTTCCTGATCGCAACGCCAGTGTAATTTACGGAGAAAAAGAATCATTCTATTTTAATATAGATATATCTTACCAATTCTTAGTTTATACTGAGAAAACGCCTTAATGAGTGGATTAACTTTCAAAAACAAATTTTAAGCTTAAATACTATCTTAGTCATCACCTTGAAAGCTCATGTTGCCTATGACATTACTTATTTTTTTATATCTAATGTAGAAGAGATTACGTCTACGACATACTGATCATAATAACTTATTAAGTGATCAGTCTCTCATCTTAAATTAATTACGCTGCATTTTTTATAGCCTTTAGACATCTATGCTTTATCAGTGATATATTATACTATTTTCTACCCTATCTCAGTGGCGCTAGAGTCGTTGTAGACTTAAAATACCCGTGATTTATCAATGATACATTTTTGTTTGACCCATATGTTAGTGATGCTGTATTTGCAGCCTTAACACCTCTGCTTTATCTGTGAACATTTTTTTATTGTTTATAACCTTACATCAGTGGCTTGGCAGACGTTATAACCTTAAGATATCCTTACTTTAACCAATGATATATTTTTTATTGTTTGACCCCCTAATTTAATGGCGCACCGCCAGTAACTCAGCTGTAATTATTAAGGCTTATAACGCTAAAAACCGGAGTTTCAACACCCGTGATAAGAACAGCACAGACATCCCATTTTGTAGTTTTATGCTAAACTACAAACAAACAAAAATTAATGGGTTTTCTCAATGTTTTACCCAAAACGAATTTTCATCATCTGAACTTTTTGTTTTCAGAAACTAACGAAAAAGAAATATATTGTAAGTACGGTAGTACTTATAGTGCGAATAGGTCAGATGTGTAATATTTGCATATTAAAACCTCAAACACATTGCAAACAGCATGTAAACAAAACTTTACAAGCACTTTACATTCACTGTTGAGCAGTAAACAAACCACCAAAGCATTTAAGAAATTCGGTAGAGTAAAAAAAAAAAATTCACAAAACTACAAATCTGTCAGTCTAACTATTTGACTGACTGATTAACGTTGTTGGAAAGATATAGCTCTCTCCTGCTTTCACCTTATACAAATCTAAATGCACATGATTGAATTATGCTGCATTGGCTAAAAGCGTTTTTCTTAGTTTTACTCATAACCTTGGTGACAAAAAGTGATAACAATATCCACTTTGCAACACTACTAACGAGCTAACAATACATTAGTAGCAGTATTCTATTATTACGAGTACGCTTTGTAACTTGCCAAGTAACGACCCGCCCTCATATCATGTGCGTGTGCACTATTGTTTATACGCACACGCTATGTGATCAGCCTGCAGATGTAGCAGCTACATAAAAAAACGTAGACTACGTAGATTCTCTAGATCTAGGTTCTAACTATGATCTAACCTTTGAATGCGAAGTTTTCAGTTCTATACATCTGACTCGAGGGTTTTGTTTTGAACAAAGTAATCCTATCATAGCAGTCGGTGCCTAAGACGTGAGTTTCCTACGTGAGAACGAACGCTACCACTGCCGAAGTCCGACACGGTATTGCTCGAGTACATTCCTACCTTGTTTCCTTACTTTTTAGTGCTCCCTTTCCAGTTCCTAATTTTTTAATTTAAAAATTATTTTACACTTGTAGTACATTTGTAACGATAGAAGTTGCAAGATAAAGTAAAATACAATAGGGAGTGTGATTAACAACAAAAAAAGAAACTATAAAAATCAAGAAAACAGTGTGTGGGCTGCAAGAAACATCACCAAAGGAGTATTACAAATAGGAGAAAAATATGACTCTTTAAAAAAAAAGTTGTAATAAGCGTTGATATAGGGTCGTAATCTAGGATAGAAGCGCATGAAGGTATATACAGTACGTGGGTCATTTTTATTCACGTTCATTTTTTAAACAGATTTTCGGCTACTAAATTTAGCCGAAGGGTTTTCACCCAAGCTGCAACTGAATTTAGTACTGCACGTATAAGATATATGTAGTGACTAGTTATTATAACAAAATTAATTGCTGTTGTATGTGAGACAAGTGTATTTTTGTAGTATTTCGCGACCGGAAGTAAGCCGTGTGGAGTTGTTTCTTTTTACAGCAAGCATTAGACGCACCCATCAGCTGGCACGTGTGGAACCTTCAAACGTCAGATAAGCTTGTGAGAAATTGGCGGGAAGAAAGAAAATAGAAAATGTGACAGTTTTTAGTCAGTGTTTGGAAAGACTTAATAAAGTCGTTTGCATCTTTTTAAAAACGCCTACAGTTTACGTAAAGTACTATATCGACATATTTTATTAGTCTCTCTCTATATATATATGTGTGTGTGTGTGTGTGTATACAGTTGTGCGTGTCAGATGTTTTGCTTATCAAATCTAATAGTAGTATTTTTTAATCTCTTTCTCGTATGCTTAGACAATTTTGAAGTACATCAGTAAAAAAGAAAAAGGACGAAACTACCTACCATCTACACCTCAACAGTGTCACTTTTGTTCACTGAAACAACGTGTACACAAAACAAGAAAATACATGATTTTATCCTTGCACCTTCTCCCACGAAAGTAGAAAGTTCACAGATGTGTGAGACCAGTTACTTAAATGCTGACGAAGATACACCATTTACCAAGGGTCTTCAAGAATAACTCAATTCATCTTGACTAAACGAAGGGACTAAACTCGTGATCCACGTTTTAAATGACGCCCACTGTAGCAGCGGCAGCAGTCCTCTCCTCCCTCCTATAAATAAAGATCTACATAACTGTACTACGAAAAGAAAGATCAAAATAATAAATATTCCGAATTTAGTCATATTTCTCACGTAATGCATCACTCTACAGATTACCCTTACTAAGATTAAAAGTTTAAGTATAGCATAAAAAAGAATATTTATTTTGTACATATGAGGGGAAATGTGTATATGGATAGAGGGAAGAAGAATGCTCGACTTTGGTATATAGTGAGAGACGAAATGAATGTATGACTTGTTTATATTTAGAAACGAAGGGAATGAATGACTTTTGTTTATATGTTGGATCGCGATTTTGCAGCAAAAATCAAGAACCATAGACCTTTAAGATTTACAATCAAACGATTCTATTACCATAATTTGTGACCATTGCTACGTTACACGTTTCAATATATATTTTATGATTGCATCTTCATTTGTCATAAATAAACATAAATACAATTTGAGGTGTGTTTCGACAATGTCAACTGACACAGTTGGAAACTATTCTTCCGATAAACAAATGTAACACTTTACAGATTATGATGCTACAGACTTTGGAGTTTTTCTGTTTGAGGGTGAGAATGATTGGGGGGGGGGGTGGATATTAGATCTAGAAAACGTTTGCTTGAAGTATCATCATCTAAATACAAACACTAACAGTAAACTAATGTTTTGATAGACACTGTTTTTCAGTCTGAGGAGATCAAGAAGTTGGTCTGTTAACACAATGTCTAAAAGAGATTTACGAAATATTTAATGGAGGGTTCAGAACAAAATCTCTGTAAGTAATGACAGGAAATAGTTAAGGCTAACACTAGCGTTTCTCAAATGCAATAGATTATATTTTATTACTGTGTTAATTATGGTATTAAATATTAGCTTTGTTATGTGGAACTATGTATATATGGAAAACGTCAGTGTTATCCGACGTTTTTGTAATGTTCACTGGTGAGACAGCTTAATAAAATAATGTGATAATTTAAAAGGAAGGCTCACATTTGGCCAAACTTATTATTAAGTTATATTTATACTACATATAACCACTTCAATAATTAATGATCTGCTGAAATTACATGAATTTTGATGAAATAAGATGTAGAGTCAACTTACTGGCGAATAGAAGTTTCTAATAAGTATAGATAGCCCTCGAGTAGCTTTGCGCGAAATTCAACAAACAAATAATAAAAGAATGTAAGATGCAAAGAAGAATTTTATTGGTTAAAATTTTAATGACATCAACATAAATACATACATGATACTTGTTTATACATATGTATAAATATGTTTATGTTCTTGACACAGACAACTTACAGGAGCAAACAGTTCCGGTTCTGACAGTGTTCCAGTGAATTACATTTGTTGAAGGTTCTTAATAAATGTTCTCCTCTAATGCGTGTGTGCGTGTTAAAAAACAACATGTGTTTAGGAAACATATCATAATAAAATGTTCATATATTAATGTGAAACGTTAGAATATTATAGTATTTACTGTTTTACGTTGTATTTTTTTCCTAAAGCATCAAGGATTGGCCAAGAGGTATGGACCCACGGGAGGTTCATGACCAACTAGCCAAAGCATTGAAGGTATGGAGTGACGTTTCGAAACTTACTTTCACCTACATTAGGAGCGCGGAAGCTGATATAATAGTCTCCTTTTTATCGGGTTACCATGGTGATGGATATCCGTTTGACGGGCTGGGTCATATATTAGCACATGCATTTTTCCCGGGAAAAGGAATTCAAGGTGATGTACATTTTGATGCAGAAGAAAAATGGTCTGCAAAACAACTTGACCAATACACTGGCGGTAAGTGCCCTTTTATATACATGTACTGGTAATACCGAAAAGGTTAGAAACAAAAAACATGTAAATTTTACTGGCCACGTGCACTACTTAAGTTTTAAAGGCAAGAATGCAAACTTTAACATCAATAGCCCAACAAAATGTATTATCTCCTCCATTTAAATGTTACCCTAGAAAATCACTTTAAACTGTGGGATATAATTCTAAACAACAATTCGTAAGCTTTCTACACTTGTGTTACATGAGCAAAGGAAGAAAAAATACTTTTATTACGATACAAAAAAAAAAAACACCCTATGATCATGTGCTAACCCTAACCATTGGAACTTCGAAAATGTTTTGTTTTGCTTTTGTTTAAAAACATAATATGTTTATTCAAAGAATTCGGGTTTTAATGGCTGAAATAACCATGCATGTGTGGTTTCATCAGAATTTTATATATTTCTGTCGGGCTTTTTTCATTCCTGCATATAACATTTTACATCGCTAGATTTTTACTGTATTAAAAGTAAAAAAGGGTTATTAATGAAAGAAACACAGCTGCTGTTTTTTACCGAGATTAGGTTTTATAATACACGGAGCCCCCCCCCCCCCCAATGGCACAGCGGTATGTCTGCGGACTTACAACGCTAGAAACCGTGTTTCGATACCCGTGGTGGACAGAGCACAGATAGCCCATTGTGTAGCTTTGTGCTTAATTTCAAACAAACAAAATCATGCACGGGTTATTTGTGTTAATCGGAGTGTGTTAACACTCTTTATGTAGGGATGACACAGACACCCGTATTAAAACAATACAAAAATCATCTAGATTTTCTTCTCTACAAGCTAGATATGAAGAACTACCTGGCATAGTCGCTCTATCTCCGGTATATATATATATATATACCGCTTTCAGCTATCCAGAGCGTCCCAATGTCGAAACAGGCCAATAGCCAAAACCGAGATTTCTTATATCATTCATCGTCATCTTTCTTCAATAGGCCTAGCGCTTACCTAGCTCTAGCAGTAACTATAATTGCATCATCATTTGATAGAACAAGACAGTCTTGAACTACCTGTTTTATTATTATTCTATGCAAAGTTTAAAAAGAAAGCATCATAATTCTAGTTTAAACGATGTTATCACCCCTTTAAGTTAGATTTCTTACCGAAATCTGGCGTTCCTTCAAGAAAGATTATGTACAGGGCGAAACAGGAATTATCAGCCAATAATAGATGAACATTATATGACTGTAACATGTAGAACACTCAATGTTTTGTACACTCTACAATCTTTATCTTTAGGGAGCCAACCCCTATATTATATATGAAGTGAAGGAGTAAGATAAAAATAAAAATAAATACACGTACATATTATCAGAGACTAAATATGAAGATCTATCTGGCCATAGTCACCCTATCTCTGGTATATATGCCGCTTTTCAACTATCCAGTATGAATAGTCAAAACCGAGATTTCATATTTTCGTTCAGCATCATCTTTATTCAACAGGCCTAGCACCTATTTAGTTCTAGCAGTAACTATAATTTCATCACCATTTGATAGAGCAAAACAGTCTTCACGACCTTTGACTACCTATTTTATTATTATTTTATGCAAAACTTATAAAGCTCTAGAATACACTTCATAACCTAGTAACCCATGTACACCATCTTATAAAAAGTAAACAAACAAGTATTAGGAAAAAAAAACATTGCTAAATAAAAAAGCTAGGTAGGGCTGGCTACTGAACTCGAAAAAAGGAACCAACCAAGATAGGGATGGAAGTGGAGATATCAGTTGATCTGGCTAATAATCACATAGCAGACTAAGCAGTTTCGACTTTATGTGGAGAATAAACTCCCTACATTACTGGCTTCATCACAGGCAAAACAAATATATCCAAAATTTCCAATCTTAAAATGTTACTCTATTCTAAAATAGTCATATAAGTAGTATTTTAAAGTTAACTAAAGATATAATGATGAAAGCTGAGATTCTATTCAAACACCAAGCTTTCGAGAGACAAAGTGGAGAACCCAGTAATGCAGGGATTTTATTTTATAATATACAGGAAACTATAATATAATAGGAAATAAACATTTCCTATTAACTAGTCTTTTCTAGTTCTTTGTTACACCTATATATCTTGCAACAATATATCTAATAGTTCTTATGTACTCAAACTAATTTAACTTAACATGAGTTGTAATACCCCAAAATGTTGCTAATGAAAATCTTTCAGATACTAATCCATTTATATATATATATACATATTTCCTTCTTTATGGTTTTTATTCTTGTGTTTATTATGAAAAAATATAAGTTAAGTCATTTGAAGATTTACAACAAACTACCATCACTAAGCAAATAATTTAACCTATTTAATAACAAATTAACCATTTCAACTAAAGTCCCTAAATTCTTATTATGAGCTGAAATTGTAATATCATCAGCAAATAGAATGTTTTATATCAAATAACTAATCTGGTATATCATTACTATATAAGATAAACAACAGTAATCCCAGAACATAACTCTGAGAAACACTTCTTGTATTTGTTAATTCATTGGAATATTTGTTATCAACTTCTGAAATTTTGCTTTTTAAATAATTCTTCAACCAGTTATACATATTACTTCATATTCAGATATTGTATTATTTTAACAATAACTTATGATTTGCACAATCTTTAGTTTGTTTGTTTTATAACAAAGTCATAGTAAGCTATCTGCTCTGTCCACTATGGGGAATCAAACCCTGGATTTTAGCATTGTAAGTCGGTAAACTTACCACAGTCCCACTGGTGGACATACCCAATTTAATGCTTTAGATAATTCCAACAACTTTGCTTTCACAAATTCATTTTTCTACATATTGTCAATAATAATTTCACATAAATCTTGAACAGCTTGTTGAGTAGACTTACCCTTATGAAATCCAGACTTATATTCAGAAAATAAATCAAATTTATTAACAAAATCCCAAAATGTAATGTAAGTTGACTTATCTAATATTTTTGAGAATGTGCTCAATATAGCTATCAGTCTATAATTACTAATTTGTCTTTTACTTCTCTTTTACAATATTGGTATTATTTTGCCTTTTTCAAAGAATGGGGAAAATTTTGTTTTCAGTAGTTAATTTAAATTATAATGGAACTGAAATAGACTTACCTTGTTTTTTAACTGCTAAATATATTTTGTTCAATTCAACTGTTTTAGTATTTAAATGTTTACAATATCAGTTATATCACTGGTTGTTACTGATTTCACCAATAAAGTTGTTAAATTATCATATTTTGGGTTAGCAAACCTATATGAATTATTTTTATGATTAACATGTTTCACAAATTGCTCTACTCATTAACAAACAAAGAAAAACACATTAAATGCATTAGTTTTGCATATTGAATCTGTTATTATAACATTATCAGTAATTATATCCCAAATAGGCTGTTTTATTGATGATTATATTCAATAATAAATTATCAGTGCAGTTCCACTTACTTTTTTTTTATCACTCATAATACCATCATAATATGTTTTCTTGATATTTGTAATATAAGCTGATTGTTTATTTTGAAATACATTGTACTTATTTCTATCTGTTGTAATTAACACATTTTTTATCTGGAGACACAGGTGAAAGTTGTCATTATGAGCACTTAGTTAGTTAGGGAGGAAGAAGAAGGATAAGCAAATTTAGCTTGGAAGAGTATATAGTATCATATAGATAATGTGTTCTTAGCTGGGAAGACAGATGTAGTATCATATACATGTTCTTAACTGCAAAGACAGATGTAGTGTGGTGTAGTTTATGTGTTCTTAGTGGGAAGACAGATGTAATATCATATAGATTACATCTTTTTGGTTGGGTAGACACATGTAGTATCATATAGACTACATGTTCTTTGCTGGGTAGACAGATGTAGTATCACATAGACTACATGTTCTTAGCTGGGTAGACAGATGTAGTATCACATAGACTACATGTTCTTAGCTGGGTAGACAGATGTAGTATCATATAAACTACATGTTCTTAGCTGGGTAGACAGATATAGTATCACATAGACTACATGTTCTTTGCTGGGTAGACAGATGTAGTATCACATAGACTACATGTTCTTAGCTGTGTAGACAAATGTAGTATCATATAGATTACATCTTTTTGGTTGGGTAGACACATGTAATATCATATAGACTACATGTTCTTTGCTGGGTAGACAGATGTAGTATCACATAGACTATTTCTACCCAGCTAAGAACATGCTACCCAGCTAAGAACATGTAGTCTATGTGATACTACATCACAGATGTAGTATCATATAAACTACATGTTCTTAGCTGTGTAGACAGATGTAGTATCACATAGACTACATGTTCTTAGCTGTGTAGACAGATGTAGTATCACACAGACTGCATGTTCTTAGCTGGGTAGACA